AGGCCTGACCAGGGAGCCCTGAGAACGATGGTGCTTCTGTCATTGCAGTGGACAGCTAGAATTAGAAGGCGAGCCATGAGTGGCTCAGCAACGCCAGGGATTGGGTAGCGGAGCTCAAACCTCTCTTCAGGATTCCCTCACGCCAGCCTGAGCAGCGGTCTCTGTGAACTCTTTCAGAAGGACCAAAGATTTGGGTGCTGACTCAAGTTAGGAGGTTGCTCAGAATCCTGAGCCTTTGCAGACACCTTTTAGAAAATCTGAGGATCAGAAAACTGAAAAATAATCATTATCTCTAAACTGAAAAAGAATAAGAATTATCTCTAAACCTATAGACACCAACTGTTGACTACTTAAGGGGGGGCTGTCTTTTGAGCCTACCTATGCATTTATTATAAAATTTGGCTTAGAGTGTATACAGAGGAGATGTGTGTACATGTGTGTGTGTTGTACCTGGAGGCTAGAGGCCAACCTTGGACTTTTTCTTGGAGCCATTGATGTACAGTCTCTCATTGGCTTGGGGCCTACCTATCAGGCCTGGCTGGCTGCCAGTGAGTCCAAGAGATCTATTGGTCTGTGTCTCTCTAGTTCTGGGTTACAAGTGATTACCAGCTCCCACACCCAGCTCTTTATGTGGGCCCTGGTGATCAAACTCAGGCCCTCATGGCTTCATGGCACTTTATCTCTTCAACCTTAGACTTACAGAGATCCACCTGTCTCTGCCTCTTGAGTCCTAAGAACAGAGCTATGCACTACTGTGCCCTCCTCTAGAGTTATTTTTCAAAAGCAACCAACATGTCCCAAGTTCAAGAAACAGAAAATAAAGGGGGGGAGGGGAGGACCCTCAGGTCACCGTCAGTCTTAGTACCCAGTGGCAGCCTTTCTCTCCAGCTTGGTTTATGTTTGTGACAGTCAACTGTAATTAACTATATATCTATTTTGCATGACTTTCAAAAACACTGAAGGACTTGTGTTATAATATATTTGATTTTCCCCATAACAGTACATACCTCCCTCCCTCTTTTTGGATAGCAAATATGTCCCCACCTTCTGCCCACATACCACAAACAGTGTAAGGGTATATTTCTGTGGGACCACTTCGCAGAACTGAAATAGTTAAAATTTGACGGATGCTTTCAAACTGTTGCAGAAAAATTGCCACACCTTGCTCTCTGAGGTTGAGTGGACAGGTTTTCCGGTAGGGCCGCAGACAAAACATTGTGAAGCTCTAGCTCAGGGCATGGAACATGTCCTGTGCCAGCAGCATTGCTGTGTGATCTCTCATCACCACCCAGGGAAGAAAGTGCTATCTTTGCTTTTCAGCTGCAGGAACTGCATTTTAAAGTGTGTAGCCTGCCTCAATTTAAGGAACGGAGATGAATCCAAGCCAGGATGGTCAAGCAACAGCCTGAATTCTTCCAGCCAATGGCTCTCAGGTCTGTGTCTTTCAGAATCACTCTGGGATGTGTGTGAAAAACTGGCTGGGTCCACCTACAGTTTCTCATTCAAGAAGTGCAGAGTGGGTTTGAGAATGGGCCGTTCTCAGTTTCCAATGAAGGGACATTGTGTTCTAGGGGCCACATAGTGTTCAGGGACAACCATTGAGCCTACCATGGGAAATGGCCATACTAAATTTGGCTTTGACTAGGTATGCTTTCAAATTCTTCATTATAAACTATATATATACGGAAACAGACCCTTTCACGGTCTTTTGAATGTTTCGGGTCAGGTCTGTGGTGATCTTTTCTTTCCTTTTTTTTGCATGTCATATGCAGTGTGCATGCATAGGTACGCTTGTACATATGAAGGTCAGAGGTGGGGTCCGGGTATCTTTCTTTGGTTGCTCTCCACCTTTATTCTTTGAGACAGGATCTCTCACTGAACCTAAAGCTCACTGATTAGGCTAAGCTGGCCAGCCCATGAGATTCAAGGACCTGCCTGTCTACCTCCTCAGCACTGGGGCTATAGGCGTGGCCTAACTCATCTGGCTTTTTATGTGGGTTCTGTGAACAGGACTCAAGTATTCATGCTTGTATGGCAGGAACTTTGCTGACTGAGCTATCTCCCCCAGCCTTGGGATCTTGTGTTATGATTTTTTGTTGTTGTTGTTGTTGCTGTCATTATCACTTCTTTATGATGATTCTTACTTTTAATGAAGACAATGCTCAGAGGAACCTTTGGGGGAGTTACTGTGGAGTTGGTAGAGTGCTGTGTAACTGCAGATGGGGAGGCTGAGGCAGTTACATTGTATCCATAGATGGAAGGCTGAGGCAGTTACATTGGTTACATTGTATCCATAGATTGGCAGGCTGAGGCAGTTATGTTGGTTACATTGTATTCACAGATGGGCAGGCTAAGGCAGTTATGTTGGTTACATTGTATCCACAGATGGGCAGGCTGAGGCAGTTACATTGGTTACATTGTAACTGCAGATGGGGCGGCTGAGGCAGTAGGAAGCACCTCGGAGTTGGACAGATGTGAGTCGAGATAAAGGCTTGGGGACTGAATGTCGCTAGACATGATAGTCTACTTCTTGGAATTCCATATCTCCTTAGCAAGGATGTAATTATGTGCTTCAGAGTTAAGCAGACCATGCAGATCACCTCTGGCTCTATACTTCTCTGGAAGAGGCTGGATATGGACACTATTGATGGTCAATACTGTCCCTCCCCCAGACCCTAGACTCCTTCTCAGCTCTGTTCCCAGAAAAACTTTTTTCTTTTCACACCCAGATTACAACTTCTCCTAATATGGAAGATTCCTTTCTTCATCTGGGTATGAGGACACTTCTGCCAATAGCCCAGCTTTGAATCCAGTGACCACAAACATGCTTGGTTGGTACCAATTATTCTGGGTAGATATATGCTAATGGACAAAACAGAATAGTCATTGTCTTCATATGTTTGTTAATTATGTCCCAGGCATGACAATGTTGGCTCCTGATGCTTTATGGAAGCTGGCAAAGGGTAAATACACAGAGGATCAAATGCCACCTCAGGTTGACCGAAAGCAGCCTACTGACCTCTGGGAGACTGGTAACGTGGCTATTGCCAGGACTTTCAGACTGTAATTCTAGCTTAGTAGACTTAGGTCAGACTCAAGAATGAACGATTCTAACAAGGTCGAATGGTGTTGGTCCAGGGACTACATCTTATGTAGGTTTAAATGGTTGACCACTTCCATCATTACCATCTGATGTAACTATTTTCTTCAGCGTTTAGTAAAATTCTGAATGCACAGAAAGACTAATTCTGGTTGTCTGTGCTTTAGGAAGAGCTGTAGACTGGGCAACAGATCTGGGCTCCTGGTATTGTTTCAAGTTTCAAGACAGCCTTGAAAAGCACTGCGTCTCAGCAAGCCTCAGTTTCCCTTCTGGGGGCAGAGCACCCTTCTCTCACTCTCATTTGTGCCAAACCTTGATCACTAGGCAGAAGGGGATGGACTCAGGCACCTCTGCCTGACCGTTTTAACCTCATACTTTTAGTGATCTCAGATGAAGTTTCCAGGGTTCTGAATTCTTACTCAGCAAAGATGAACAGGCATCTAGAATGCATAGCCTGTGCTCCGCCAGCAAATATTCAGTAGGAAATCATTTTCGCAGTGCTTGCTTTGTGCCAGGAACCATGGTAGCCTCTGCACAGGGGTTAGCTTTGATATTTACTCTTACTTAGAGACAGCACCAATTACTTTCTCCAAATAATCAGGACACAGGGGCGTGCGCGCACGCGCGCGCACACACACACACACATACACACCCCTCCCCCCAGGACTGTCATGGTAGAAGGTGACAACTGTCTACACGGACACCATAACAGCAGGCGTATGTGTACGTATGTCCACCCAATAAATAAACGCCTTAGTGTTTATTGCTGGGAAGAGACACCATGGCCATGCAACAATTAATTGGGCTGGCTCACAGGTTCAGAGGCTTAGAGGCTTAGTCCATTACCGTCATGGCAGGGAGCATGGTGGCACACAGGCAGACAGTACTGGAGAAACTGCTAAGTTGTTCATCTGGATCCCAACCAGCGGGAAGAGCTCTCTTTAGAGAGCCGGGCCTGACTTAGGCTTTTAAAACCTCAGACCCCATGCCCAGTGACAGACATCCTCTAACGAGGCCACGCCTCCGACTCCTTCTCAAGCAGTGGCACTCCCTGACGACTGGCCACTCAAAACATGTGCCTATGGGGCCATTCTTACTCAAATCACAGCAACAAATTTAAAAGTGCCCCCTTGAATGGTCCGTTAATGGATCACTTCCCACTCTCAGATCAGGATGTTTCTCTGCTTAAAACGCCAGTTCTGTGCTAGATTCTGACAAGTGAATGAACTGACCTCAGGTGCAGGTGCTACACAGAGATCTGAAGCAGAAACCACGTCCCCTCTGGGTTCACAATCAACACCCCTGAATTACACTGTATGGGGCTGGAGGCATGTGCCTCTGTGTACAGCCGTCTCTTTGTACTCCTGTCTTTCCTGATTATCCACCATGGTCCATAAAGATTATGGGGAACAGTTCAGAAATAAACAATCCATGAGTTTTAACAACTTATTACAGCATTGCTACAGTTTACTGCCCTTATTGCCAGTTACCACTGTTAAATTTGTGTCTAACTTACCAACGATAGTTTACTTGTGGTATGCATTTACTGGACAAAAGCCTGCTTTTCAGAGGGCTCAGTTTCAGGTCTCCTTTGGGAGGTCTCTGAGTGTGTTAGCTGTGGAGACAGAGTACCGCTCCTGTGAGGATCAAGGGTGGACGACCAGCAAGCCAAAGCAGAGCTACCCTATTTGTTAAGGGTCAGGGGATACCACAAGATGCTGCACTGGAATGACTGAAGATGCTTGGCTGAGGGCACAGCCGGTTACAGCGCCCAGATGGCATGCTTGGCATGCTTTATAGACCGGTTACAGCGCCCAGACGGCATGTGATTACCGAAGATGCTCGGCTGAGGGCACAGCCGGTTACAGCGCCCAGACGCATGCTTTACAGACCACGCGAGTTTGTTTTCATTCTGCATTTATTTAACATCTCATCCAGTTACACTGAAATGACACATTGGCTCTGAGATTGGCACGAAACCTCACTAATACTGATAGCTGCTAGCCAGTCACACACACAGCTCTACCTCAAGTTAGAATAGTATTAACTAGTCACCGTATTGCACATCATATGGATTTTTTTTTTTTCTGGGAAAAAATAGGTATCATTAAAAGATCAGCAAAGATTGCCAATTTTCACTCATTTGTTCTTTTTTTTTCTTTTTAAAGCATGGTTAAACCACATAGTGAGTATTCCTATACAAAAGCACTAAGAGGCCGAAACTTAGAAAAAAACAAAAACAAAAACAAAAACAACCCAAATCTAAAGGAGCTCGGCGGCGTGTCTCCTGCGAGGTTCACGCTCCACATGGGCTGACACTTGGGTGAGCTGGTCAGTCTCCCAACTAGCTACCGAGTTTTCACGTTCCCAGAGCTGCACATGCACAGGGCAAGAACTCTGGGATCGGCTGGCAGGCGGACCTCAAGGTCTCCGGGCTTCTCACACGTGTCTTTTAAGCACCTGCAGTGCTCTGCCTCCATTTGAACAAAAGCGCTGAAGGCAGCAAGACTTGTCCAAGGCCAGAACATCACAAACTGCATTCCAAGTGGTTTGGCTTTCAACTTGAAGATTCCAGCAGCACGGGGAAGGGCTGAGAGCCTCAGAGCCATTCACCCTTTCAGAGAAAAGAGAAACACAGGCACAAGGCACAGCACTTTTTCCTTTATGAGGAAATTCAATTCAGACACATTATCAGGGAAAAAGGATCTACAGAAACTAGACAGTCTCCATTTTTTCTTTTAACTTACAAATCTCTGAATTACAATGATTTACACTTGGTGTAGCAAGTGGCTTGTTTGACATGGAACATCCACAGACTTCCAGTGGGACCTCGGCCACACGGAACATCTGACATGTGAAATCACGGTAGAGACGTGGACACATCAAGAAGCTTTAGACAGGGTGAGACACAGCACAACATTCACTGTTGCTGACTTGCTAATGTATTTTTGTATCTTCCTGAAAGCCAAAGAATTCTACAAGAATGGTGGGGGGGATGGAAATGGCATATAGAACCTAAGAACTGTGGTTTCACTTCTGAAAACACTCGACTCTCCCAGTCGGGCACTCTCCACAGGTGCTGAGTACACTCCCAAACCCTGGCACTTGTGCATTTCAGTTGATTATTTGATGGAAATTCATGACTATAGAATACCTGTGAGGTAAGAGTAATATTTTAGAAGCACTAAACAGATTGAAAAGTTAACCGACAGAAGCCAGTGCCACGGGAAGGCTTCCCATCCTGCTGGGAAGGTGTAAGGAGTGTTTCCACTCTGAACCTCAATTCTTATCACCACCTACTTTGGGCTGATCCATTGGCAACTGGAGACAAAATTCCCTTAGTATTTAAACTTGGGTATTTAGTCTTAGGCCTTTTGTGCTTTCCCAGTTTCCTTGCTGAGGCCTCTGTGGCACAGAGGTAGAAAGGACTGGTAGCTGAACAGGTGACCTTTCCAATGATCGGTGAGCGGCGTTTACTGAGTGTGTGGCTGGAGCACTACGCTAGGCCTGCCAGCGCTGTCGAGAGCTCCAGGTGGTGGCTTTGAAAAATCAGTGTCCTTAAAATCTACCAGAAGGGCATTGTTTTGTAAATTACAACATGATTCAAATGCCAGGCTCCTGAGCGGCAGCTGGACTCTAATGCAGATCTTGCAGAGGCTTTCGGCTGGGAGTGCCTGTCACACACACTTGCTCCCTGCTGTGGCTTCAGGAGATTCACAGACGGCAGCAGGACCCTCCAGGACTAGACCTTGGCCTCACAGGCCCTTGTTGAAGTACACGCGCAGTAACTCAGGGTGACTCCTTCGGATGCTGGCTTGCAACTCATCCTCCAAGCTTGTCACAGACATGGAGCTGGGACAGGTGGGAGAAACAAGGTTATCTCATGGGCAAAAATGGGACCCTGACTAGGAAGAGCAGGGAGGAGACACAGGTTCAGAGAGCCAGGGCTGGCGCATGAGTCACACCAGAAAGGCTGCACACGGGTACAAAGTGAGCATTCTGTTCTCTTCAGAAAATCAGTCATCCCCAACGAAGAGCTGTAAGGAGCTGATTCACCTGGCACTTCTACTGAAAACGTCTCATGGCTGGTCAGAACACACAGCAGTGGCATTCACAGCCCCCTGTGAACCGCAGCGCTGGGACCGCAAACAGCTGTGCCAGCTGAGAACAGAGCTTTGGCCAGGGAGTACACACTAGTGGAAGAACACTACCGATGTGCTCGCCTGTGGCTCCAGTGAAGTGAGTCATGCTGAGGGCTGTAGAAGCCAGGCAGGAGGTAGCTTGCCTCTTAGGGAGGCTAACACACTCTGAAATGTAGCAGCAGGGGGCAGAGAAGAACTGGGCAGGAGTGTCTTGAGGTCCCACACATCGGAGCTAGCCCTCCCAGTCTCTTTTAGACTTGTGGGCTTCTCTGGCCTTTAGGGTCCCAATTTCTTACCACTGAAATCGAACAACTGTGCTTATGTCTCCAGGGTCAAATTTGACAGGAATTCTAAGAAAAAGAAAAAAATAAAAAACCAAAACACCACCTACCTCTTCTGGGGAAACAGAGCACAGCACAGGGGCGTGGCGAACACCAAACTTAAAAGACAAAACAGAAGGACAGGTCAGCAGGCTGCAGTGGCCACTTCTCAGCTTCCTTTTCTCTATATATGTATTATAATAACAACCTCTTTCTCTTTCTCTCAAGCGCAATATTGCCTCACAAATATGTACTGCTTAATCACCAAAATGACAAACAAAAGCAATAAAACCAAAGGGGTAGTTGGCGTTTCCATGAGAACACCCACAGAGCTAATACATTAGTTCCTTTCTTTCTTTCTTTTTTTTTTTTTTAGATTTTATAATTGCTTTATTTGCCTTGGGCCAGGCAGATATTCCTGCCTACGCTGTCTAAATAACGTCACCACGCATCTCCCAGCCCCATACAACGCTATCCTCACCTGGTCTACCTTTCATCCAGAATCTCATGGGACTTGCTTGTATTCTTCATCTGGGCATTTTCGTTCCATTATTGGAGTCCTTCCTCTTGGCTCACCTAGTTTTTCTAATCCACAGTGGCATTTTCCTTCCTCCTCTCTTCCCATCCATCTGTTTCCCCCAGTTTTCATCTTTCTAATTACTGGAGCCACAACTTCTAGGCATCCTGAAATGGTGTCATCTTCAAAACTCCTCTCCTGTACTACCCAACCTTCCATAGGATAAAAATTAACTATAGTAAGTGCAATTTCTGTGTTGACTACTGTGATTACATGTGATAAACACACAATAATAGCAATATATATTTTTAAAGGTTAATTTCCACTTACCAAAAGCCAACCAAGGTGACTTGAATCGGTGCACTCATCCACGGGAACCTCTGCATTGAGAAACACAGGAGAGTGAGTGGTTTTCATGTGGTTCGTCAGGACACTTTCCTCTGCTGACTAAGCAGCATCCGCATGGCTGAAGAGCCAAGGTGACAGGATTAGCAAGATTGGGGCAACACTGCTACCACACGGTTAGTCCCGACATACAAAGACCAAGCAGCAGCCACTGCGTCATTCCCCCTGCGTCCTGAGGTAGAGGACCAGCCAGCTAGCACTTATGGTTTATCCGCTGCTGGAGATGAGAGGAAGCCAACACTCAAGCTTGAAGAGCCGTGAACTCGCGCTAAACCTCTGCCGCCCAGCACTGACAAAACTGTGTGCAAACAGCAGGCAGAGGCCTGGTTTTGTTAGGATGCAAAGTGACAGGCCCCGAGGGTGACAGTGCCGACCAGGCAGGAGCCCAGCGGAGGGATGGACTGTGGGGGGAGGAGCCGGGCAGACCCGGTCTCCCCGATCCGCTTACGCATTCTCCTTCATGGATTTAGTTGCTGTCAGTAGGTTAAAACTATTTCTGGAGTTAACACTCTTTGCCAGGCAATGAGAGAATGGGTTGGTATTTGAGAACATGAACGTTGTTAGATATTTAGTTTTCATAAAAGGAAAATGTTCAACATAAAATGCGATGAGATACAGGGTTATCTAAGTAAGACCACGGACATCTCTGCAAGGGAGGCGTGAGTTGGTTGCGGTGTAATCAGATGCCTTGGTTCTGAGTCACACAGTCCTTGCAAGATAACGTGCATAGAAGGCATACCCTGGTGCCCAAGGAGACTCCTCTGGAGAAAGGCATCATCAGGCGGCCAACATGGAGGGCAGAAAGAGGAATTGAAGGAAACCACTGTCACGTGCCACTTACAGACAGGACATATTCTGAGAAACGCATCCTTGGGCCAGGCTGTCTAGGTACTCGTTAGCACCCATTCTAAATTCAGGTCACTGGGCTACCTGATTTTAAAACATGTGGCTCTCCCCCCTCCCCCACTCTACTGGCTGTTTCATGAGGGGTTTTCACAGGAGATGTTAAATTCTCACTCAAGACCCTTCTGGACGTGAGACACCCAGGACAGCACCGGCCATGGGGACGGGACAGCAGGCTCACTGCTGAGTGAGCTTAGAAGGGTGGGTAACTGGAACCCATAAGACCAGACCTCGTCTCCGTCTCCGTGGCCTCTTGTCTGCTTAAGTAAACAGCGCCAGACTTATCTAGAAAGAGTGTGCATGTGTGTCACCTCAGGACGGACACACAGACGCCAGGCTGGCTTTGCTGGAGGGCTCTTCATAAGGACAAGGACCCTGCAGTATTCCGACTTGCTTGCAAACCAAGCCCATGACCTACTAGCCTGGTTCCTGACTGTCTCCACTATTCCATCCTGCCTGTTCCTCAAAGACAGTTCCAGGCCAGGAATGGGTACACTGAGGATGTCCAATCTTTTACTACATATACAGACCCCTCAGGGTAGGGACATGCCTTGCTTAACAGACTGTAGATCACACACAAAAAAATTTAGATGAATTGAATGTTCTTATTTATTACATGTAACATACTTTATATCTTATTTAGAAGATATGTATCTTCAAGCTGATAGGGGTTGGGATACATAGTTCGTGGCTCTGTATCTAGATGTTGCACGAATCTCAATTCCTTTTCCCGATGGCTCCTCTTATGTTAAATTTACTGGCACACGCCAACTATACATCTCCAATGTGTACAGCGTGATTTGTGACCTACATGCAGTTAAGATGCACACATGAAAACGAGTCCATCTGTCACCATAAATGCTTCCCACGTTTCCTGTGCCTTTTGGGATTCCTTTCCTTTCCTGGCTTGTCCTCTGGAAAAGTTGTAGCTCTGATCTCACTATGTATTAGTTTATGCTTCCTAAGGCTTGAGTTTACTCTTTTTATATAGTCTCATGTAGACAAGGCTGGCTTAGGCAAACTCCCTAGAGAGCCAAGAATGACCTTGAACTCCTGACCTTCCTATCTCTACCCCAAACAGCAGCATCAGAGCCGTGTAGCACCAGGACTGTATCTGGAGTTTTATACAGTGTCTGTTTTTGTGTGGTTACATTGGGAATTACTCATGCTGCTGCATGCATCAATAATTCATTACCGACAAGGTAAGTGTTCATGAATAGGGCAACACACTTTCTTGTTGACTTTGGAGCTGTTTCCAGTTTGAGGCTAACACAAACAAAGCTGTGGCAAACTTTCTTCTTTATGGATATTTGCTTTCATTTCTTTTAGAAAAACACTTAGAAGTGAAATGGCTGAATTGAATTGTAGCATATGTTTGTACAAATGGCTCAAGTATTTTCCAAAACGGCTACACTATTTTACACTGCCACCAGCAGGTTGAGAGTTCCAGTTCCTGCACAGACTCATCACCCTGGCCACTGTAACCTTTAACGGTAGCCATTGTAACAGGTGTTTCACAGTAGCGTGTGGTTTTACTTTGAATTTCTCCAATGGCTAAAATTGCTCAAGCCTTTTTTATGTGTTCTCTGCAAGTGTTCAGTGAGGCTTCTGCTTAACACTTTGCCCATGTTTGCACTGTAAGGATGAGCCATTTTCTTGAATGAATATTTTAAGTTCTTTACAAATTCTTGATTGACTTTCTTACCAAGATGGCTCGCTTTGCTACTTCCTTTCTCTAGTGGGTTTTTTTTTTTTTTTCATTCTCTCTGGTTTTTGAAAGACAAAATTTAAAACTGCTTTGGAGTAGTCTAATTTTTCATTGGTCTTGTATTCAAGAAGTCTTTGCCCAAACTCTGTGATCAATGATATTTTCTTTTTATAGTTGAGTTTTGAATTTGGACTCCATGAACCGTGGATGGTTAATTTGCATACAGGTAGAATCAATTCCCTCTGTATAGCCCAGCCACCCACAAATCCCCACCAAGCCACGCTCTGTTCTCACAGGCTTTTGCCAAACCCTGGCTGCCGGCGGCCCTCTGTGATCTACGCCAGCCACTGCTCCTCTGCAATCTGTTGCCCCAAACTAAAATCACCCTGTGCTGCCACCACTGGCCCTTCGTCTCATTCTTCCACTGAGAGCAAGGCTCATGCCATGCTTCTGTGACTCCAGTACTGAACGCTGCTTACCACAGGCATCCAGCGAAGGGCTCAAGATTAAATACTGTCTATGAATAAGTAAAGAATGTCACACTCATGTCCATTAGCAAACACCCCCAAACAGCTACCAAGCACATACTGCACCCTGTTATTAGAGAAAAAAAAGATTCAGAATTAAAAGTTCTAAGGGATAGAATGACTTCAGGGTCTAACCCCATCAGCGTGATTCCCAATGGAAGTGCCAGGCAGCTTGAAGAGATTGAGGCCTGTCCTTTAGGACAACTGTTCAAGGCTGCCCTGTAATTTAAGCAGTGAACTTTTGGTTCGCTGGAGGGATTTTCATGAGTCACCTGCCCATAGCTGGCGTGTTTTTCCAGCCCTTCACTTGAAAAAAGATAAGATGTGGGGGAGGATGAGTCATGCTGAATGTTCCCCAAGAACTGTTTAAAAAGCCAAGAATGTTCAGTTTGGTTTCATGCTGGTAGGGGAACATCCTGGTAGGGGAGTCTGGTCATCACAGAAAAATCTGCATTTCAAAAAAATGACTGTAAGCTCCAAACACTGCCCCAACATGTTTGAATAACGCTCACACCATTAACAAGCCCCAAATGCAAAGACAGTACGTAAGTAGAACTTCACCCTTGAACTTGGGAGTGGTAGGTATGTGTGGGTCACTCTTGACCTTGGGAGTGTGGAGTATACATGGTTCTTTCAAGAACACTTAGCCTTGACTGTTTCAAAGCAACATGCTCTTTTAGAATTGGAAGGAAATCAGCTACCACCAGACTCCCTGTAGCTAGGGAGGCTTGTGAAATGATCCCAAACTGTTTTGACCATATCTTTCCATCTTGTCACCAGGATTCCAAAGTGGCCTCTTTGAGGGTTGTAATGGAGGTTCTGAGGGGACAAAAACTGAGGTGGTATACTTTCAGGTCATAGAAGGGTGTGGCTGCAAGTCCTGCTGCAAACTCTAAGTTAAGATGGGTGCGAGGCAGTGATGGCTCCGTGGATAAAGATGGTTGCTGTGTAGACCTGGCAACCCAAGCTCAGTCCCAGGAACTGACATAAAGACGGAAAGAGAAGCAACTCCAAACAACCCCAGAAATTCAAAGGCAGGAGTGAATTGTAATGCCATGTCTCAGGTTCCCCCATGGCCATTTGTCTTCCACCAAAGAGACATACACTTTCTTATGAACTGATGTAATTCTGAGCCATGATAAAGATGTATTGTCAACAGCCAGCATGTTCTGTGTTCATGGCTGGAGCCAACTTCCCTGAATGATGTACTTCTGAAAAGTGACAAGATTCTCAGCTTCTACACCACTGTCTGTCAAGCTGCACTAGGAATTACGTTTGTGTGTGGAATCTGTCATTTAATATGTGTGGGCTGTGGGTGACCCTACAGAACTGAAGCACCAGGGGTTTGCTAACTGGGTGTGGGTGATACCAGGAAAGCTTACGTGGAATGATGCTGCTACTGAACGTGGCCTGAAAACTTTCCACAGCGACCTACAAAATCGTGATGACCATGAGCTGCGTGTCAAAGGACTAACCTTTACTATCATTTCTTGCAAACAAACAACCTGTTACAGCTATGCCAGAAAAACTGATAGAGATGACACTATCTAAGGCTAGACATATAGCCATCACACACACACACACACACACACACACACACACACACACACACACAC